TGGTGAGCACCTGAAATCTCAGCTACTTGGGAAGCTGAGGCAGGAGAATCGCTTGAACCCAGGAGATGGAGGCATAAACGCATGTGTACTATCTAGGCAGCAACAAAAATTTTAATCCATTTTCAAGGCCAGCCTGGTTTTCTTGATCCACAGTGATCCAGGTGGGAAAATCTAGAAGTCGTCAGAACAAGCTTCTCTGAGACCCGGAGATGCCTATGAAGACTGGCCAGTGTCTGGTTGCTGCCAAGATTGTTCCAATAGCTCTTCAGGCAGTTCAGAAACCACCCCAAACTCCAAACATGGGGGAAGTCGCCTTTCAGGGGAAAACTCAGACCGAACCTTCTTGAAAGATCAGGAAAAACAGAAATGACAGTTCCTCTGAGGTCCCGATAAGCAGTGGTGGCAAAAACAAACCTCTGTGTGAATTCAAATCTCTAAGTTTGTTCTGGTTAGCAAGTCTGGAAATGAAATTTACCCTAGTGAAGGCTACATGACCACTAAAGAGCTGTAAAGTTAAGAGTAGTATCTTCAGTCTGAAGACAAAGCCTTCCCTCTCAAGTGTTATAAATAATTATGTATTTAAGATTTTTAATTTGTATATATTAGTGTGACACAATACTTGAATCAGCAGCTATTTTTCCTCAAAGTTTAAGATATTTCCATGTTTTATATAACCTCCTGTTATTCTACCACATAAATATAAAGTGTGGGAGGGGGGGACTGAGAACAGGACCAAGGCAGTCATCTTAAATATCTTATACAATATGTTTAAATTTAAAGAGATGTTATTTAATAAACTATGTGCCTGAGTCTTAAAATTCCAGGTTTCAAAGTAAGTGTGTTCAATCCTAGAACAGCCTGGGTAAGCTACCTTAATCAACTTTCTACTATTTCAAGTGCCCAAATTTCTCCAGAATTGTCTTTTACAAAAAAGGCAACACCTTATATTTGAGTCCTTTCAAAGTTTCATATTACACAGGCCTCTCCGAAGAACAAAGAACTGCTCCAGAAAGATACTTCAGCTTGAAATAACCTAAAAATCAATGCAGTTTTGATTGGAAAAAAAAGGAAAAAAGAGTCCATTTTAATCAAACAGTAAAGAGGAAAGCAAAGCAATTTAATGCAGATTCAGTTCTCATTCTTGAAGGGATATATGAACTCATAATTTCTAATGTTGGAAACTGAAAAGCAAGCCTTTTAAAGATTACTTTAAAAAGTAGTAGTATTATGTCTGCCTAGAATACATAATCTGAATTCAGTCATGAGGAAACATCAAACCAATTCAACTGACAGATATTCTGTAAAATAACTGGTCCATATTCTCAAAAGATAAAGAAAGACTGAGAAGTCAGGACAAGTAACTGATTTATGATCCTGAATTGGATCACAGACTGGAAAAGGGATATTAGCATTTTTTTTTCAAAGGGAGTCGCAGTTACTTTGGTCTGTTAAAGAAAAATCCAGAATTCCCTTAGGTATAGTGAAATGATGTCTACTAAGAAAAGTATACTTCTTAAAGGTTTTTGTTGTTGTTGCTGTTTTGGCCAGGATAATATTAATAGCATACACATCTCAGTGTCTTCATTCAGCCACAGGCATACAAGTACATTCTTCTAATGGATTCTTGAATCTGAAAAATCAGCCATAATTATAATATATGACAAACAGAAGAAGAATAATCCCATTTTGTCTGTATTAGGCAACAGTGAGATCAAGTGCATATTTTGCTGGATTACTGCGAAAGTTGTTGTGGGTGTTTACACTTGTTTACAATGCATGTTTGTTACCAAGAATGTGAATTATCAGATTACCCAAAGAATATAAACCAAATATTTAAAACAAAATTGATATGGTGGGGAACCATTAAAAATTAACTGCACAATGATGAACACTATACAACTTCAGCATATTCACAAGGGTTAATGTAATCACATTCCAAGTATGTCCACTCTTGGCAGGGCTTGCAAACACTAACGCCAGAAAACATTAACTCCATATTCAAATTCTGATAGTTTTGAGTTTTAAAATCCTTTGGCAGGGGGTTTTAACAATTAGTTGGTTAATAAAAAATATCAGGCTGGATAAACTAAAATGATTCTACTGTTTCAGCCACATGTAAAAAATCGTTAGAAGCCACTGTATTTAGGAATTAAAGAAGATATTCCAGAGCATGCATTCTCTCCCTGCTGAACTTCAGCAGACATTCCCCTTATCACTGGTTCAAGCAATACAGCTCTGGATCCTTGGGACCCTTCAAGGGCACTAGGGCTCTGCCTCCACAGCCATGTCATATCCTGCGGTCACACCAGCATGCAGAGGTGCCTCCCACCCTTTCACCCTTCCAGGAAGCTGGGCAACAGCTGCACAGGAATGTCCACTCTCTGAGCGCCAGCCACTGGAAGACAAAGCACTTGTGTCTCCTCCTCCTTCTGCATTCCTGGAGGATGTTCAAACAGACCAGGGGTTTATTTAACTAAGTCAAAATATAGGTCTGGTTAGTATTTTCAGTCAAAGGAAATCTTTAAGGTAGCCACAAAAGAGAGAAGTTCTGAACAACATTACATAGTTTACCTTAGGAACATCCTAAATCAAAAATACTACCTACTTTTTGTGTTTTAGATGAAATCGCTGTGTAATGTAACAATGGGCTAGTCCACCTGGGAAGGATGATAGTACAATGTGGTTTTTTGATGATGGTGAAACCAGGAGACAACACCAGTGGGAGTAGATGTCTTATAGCCACAAAGACATAGATATAAATCTCTCTTTTACTCCTAATTGTACAATCTTGAGATCTTGGGCATGTTAAGCTAAAAAAAAAAAAAAAATCATTCTGTGCCTCAGTTTCCCCATCTGTAGAAAGGCATTAATAATATTTACCTTGGAGGGTGGATTTGGAGATTCTAGAAAATATATGTAAGGGCCAAGCAGGTGCCCAGCATACAACAGGCATGGAATATGCTTATTTCTATATTTTTATAATTTTATTTTTAATAGATAAATGTTAACTTTATATAGAAAAATATTCAATGAGAAAGATTAATTTACTTGGCTTTATTGCTACAAATGAATCGCAATTCATTATTCATTTTCTAGTGAAGAGTCTAAGCTTGAAAACTCAAGAAGCTAGAAATTGGGAGGATACCACCCTGAGGTAGACCATGATCACCTTGCAAGCTAGCTTGAGATTTACAGTTAATTCCATTCTTTTCTGCCTTTTAAAAAAATTTTAATGTAGAGATGGGGGTCTCACTGTGTTGCCCAGGCTGGATCACTTGAACTGCTAAGCTCAAGCGATCCTCCCTCCTAGGCCTCCCAGCGTTAGGATTACAGGCATAAGCCACTGTACCTGACCTTTTCTGCCTTTGTGTATATTTATAAATATACCTCAATGATGATGAGGGAAACTCCCTGGTGTGGGAAAGCCACATCCATTCTCCACATCCTGCTTTGAGAGGATTTGCCTCCCTTAGTTGCTCTCACTTCAGCCTCTGATGTGACAGAGTCCCATGCAACAGAATGATTCCTCCACTGTTATATCAGCAGGTGGAATTAAATACTCCTCTTCCAAGCAAGGCAGATGCTTTCCCAAAGAGATCCATGTGGGAAAGCTGCTTCCGCCCCTGCAGCACTTCACATCACCTTTCACACTGCAGCTCTGACACTCATCCCTTCCTCAGAATCTGAATGAAATCTCCCGGCTAATGAGGGACTCCCTGACAAGTGCCTCCATAAGTTAATACACATTAAATTGCCAGAGGAAACAGAACAGTAAGTGTTCCCAGGGGTTTTAAACATCCCTAGAAGTGTCAACTTGCCCATTTGAGCCAAACTATAGTTAAACAGTTATCAATAATTATATGGAAACTACCATCTTGACTCTGTCAGAGTAGCTCAACCATCATTAAACAGACAATGCTTCTAGGGATTAAAAAAAATCTTAGATCTTTTTATCCCATGGGAGGTAGTTTAGATCTCTGAATCATCTCAGGTCTGGTCTGGGCTTCTAAACTATGGGAGGACACAGCAGGAGTGAGGAAGCAACTCTGGGTACAAAGGTAAAGACAGGCGAGAAAGCTGTGTGTGTTTGAGAAATTATCTGTAGAGCTAGCAGGCAGACAGGATGTTACCTAAAACCTGTATCATTGTTAACGTTGTGTGCACAGAGAATTTCCGAAGATCTCTATACTCAAAAGAATGTATGTAAGATTTTGTCAATGTTTTCAAATTGTCCAACCCCAGCTATTTCCTTGGGCCTAGGATCAACGGGTCATTGTTACAGTGATTTCAGGTTCCAGTGGGCTAACAGCACATCTCAAAGCATGAAAAACCAAATTCCAAAGGCTATTTAGGAAACCGACCTTTGCACTTGCTGTTTTCTTCCCCAGAAAACTCTGACCCCAGTCATACCTGCACAGTACATTCTCTTACTTTGTTTTAGGTCTCTGCTCAAATGTCCACTTACTGGAGATGCCTCAACACTCAAAAACAGACTCTACATCACCTCTGAATGCCTTCGTTTTTGTTACTCCTTTCCTTTCTCACCACCTCTCATACTGAAGATGCATTTGCTTATTATCTGCCTTCCTCTCCTCCCAGATGCAAGTTTCATAAAAGAACTTTGTTTTTTCACTGTTATATCCCAGTTCTTCACAGAGTACCTAAAACATAGTCACTGTTCTATTCAATAAATATTTGTCAAATGTATAATGAACCGTAGATGGTTTACCGAATGTCATATATCTCCAATTCTCTTCCCAGTAGCCCTGAAACTCAAACAAAGGTTCTGAGACACATACAAGGCTCACATCTCCTTAGATGCCTTTTGCTGTTTCAGCTTATAAAGCAAATGTATCCTTCTAAGTTACCCCCAAGAGTTTACACAAGCAAGTTTCCCTTCTAATCTTCTCGGGATACAGTGTTCATTAACACACCACTTGCCCTTCTCCGAAAATATCGAAAATGTTGATGCTCACAGAAACCTACGTCTCTTTTCTTACCATACTGATCTGAAGAGCTGGTGAAGAGAAGATAGTCAGAAGCACAGGTCTGGGATTCAATATCCAAGTCTCCCAACCTCAGAATCAGTCTCTTCCCCTTTGGTACTGTAATCGTCCTTTCGCAAACGGTGTGATTGGGGTAGGTCCCGGGATAATTCTTAGATGTCATTGTGCCACTATCCTGGTAAGTCACTAGGTGTCCACAGCCATCACCTGGTAAAGAAAAAAAAAAATGGGGATAAAAAAAGAAAGTGTAATTAATTCTTATTGAGGATTGAGAGTCCAATGTAATCTCCAAGTTATATATTTTATTGTTTTTGGGGAAAAGGAAAAACAAAAAACAAAAAAAGAAGATTGAATTATTAAATAATACCTGTTGTTTCAGGTTATTTCATCTCTTGTTTTCCAGTTTAATCTTGATGATCAAAATGTTTCACATATTAGAATATAAAGCCCTTAGGAAACAAATCATCTAATCACTAGTTTTTCTAATCAGCTATCTATCGACCTATCCAAACTCACTCAGCAGGCCTTGCATGGATTTGCCAAGCCACCCCCAAAGTCAATGTCATATAATAATTCACAATGAAAAAAAATATTACTCACCTTAGAAGGTGGTTGTGCTCATTAAATGGGATAATGTATAGAAAATGCTCCTGTTAGAATTTGAGGCTTAAGCTGACAAAACTTTGTTTAGCTGCAAGTCATTTAGCTGGGAGCTGAGCCTAATAATCATTTGAAACGTATGTCTTAGTTAATAACAGTCACAGATTCTAAGGTTCCTCATAGACTGAGTATGTACAATCAGAAAATGTCAAGGATCTACTATGTTGAGTGCTTTTCATAACCAGACATGGTATTAACAGCTGAAAACACAAAAGCAGCACTTGCCGTCTCACAGAACTCAAGGTAAAATGGCAAATACTCACACACTCAAATAACTACATACATCAGGGGTCTAACGAAAATGTAAAGGAGAGAGGTAAGAAAGAATGTTTCAGTGAATTACCAGCATTTCGTCAAAACAAGAAATTATCTGAAGATTTCTCAACAGGGAAGTTCACCTATTAACCTACAAGTTGCTCTAGTTGATTAAAGTGGCCAAGTCAGTCACACAACCATCTAAGGACATACACAACTGGGTGGGCTGCAAGGAGAATGAGGATATGCTGCTTTCAGATTGCAAAACGTCTGTAGTTAGCATAGCTTCATATAGACTAAGCAAGAATTTCTGGTCTCAGCTGAAGGGAGAGAAGCAGAAATCTGTAGAAGAAGGAACTCTGAAAGGTAGTGAACGAAAGCCTCTCCATCCCAAAGTCTCTCATGGAGAAGCCTCAACTTGGGTATACTGGGACCCTGAAGACTTCAAAACAGCCAGCCCTCTTCCCTCCCAGCCTCTTCCCCAGTTAGAGTTGGATTCACCTGGAATCTTCCTTTATTCCACCTCCTTCTTGCCTTGAGGTGTTGGGCCAAATGGTAATAGAGGTTTATAAAAAAATGTTTTAAAACTCCAGAATCTATGTTAACTCAACAGCCAAGGTCTAGTGAAAGGATCTGCCCATAATCCAGAAACTCCCACGAGACTCCTGGCAGCCCCTGACAGGGGGCTGAATTGGAGAAGTAGAGTTGGCTTTAATGGAGCAATGGGTTAAGGAGTGTGGGTGGTGGGGTGGACTTTAGATAGACAGCCAAGATAAACCTACTATGAAGCCTTGAGATCTACACAGAAGAAGTTAAATTTACGTGGAAGGCAACAAGGACACACAGAATTTTTTGAGTAGGGAAATAATGAAAGAGGTATTAGAAAAAGACGATCACCCTGGCTGGACAATGCTACAGAAACTACAATAGGGACAGAATCTGGATCAGAGGAGCAGCAGGCAGGCTAGCAATGGGGGTAGCTGGAACAGGAAGGAAGGAAACAAAAAACAGGGAAATCCATGAGACAAAATCAACAGACTCAGGTTTTGGGGAAATATAGCGGGAAGGACAAGAGGAGAAAAAACACCAAGGCCTTGTTCAATACAGAAATGACTGGAATACTGAGGCCAATATAGACAGCAAAAAAGGTCTAGAGACGGAGCAGGTTTGGGGACAAAGGTTCTAGGTTTGGTTCAGTTTGAGGTGACAGCTAAATCCCTTGGGCTTTCTGGCAGTTGGTAGGCACAAAATTACCAAGAATTAAATGAAAACGATACTAGAGAGAAGCATAGTGTACAGGTACACACAGTGTACAGGGCTTTGATTTAAAATCTGAATTATGTGTCTGCTTTTAAGGGCTTTAACAAAAAAATCCAATTTATAGTCTCCCTTTAAAACTGAAAGACGAGCTGGGCGCAGTGGCTCATGTCTGTAATTCCAGCACTTTGGGAGGCCAAGGTGGATGGATCACTTTAAGTTAGGAGTTCAAGACCAGCCTGGCCAACATGGTGAAACACTGTGTCTACAAAAAATACAAAAATTAGCTGGCTGTGGTGGCGTGAGCCTGTAGTCTCAGCTACTTGGGAAGCTGAGGCAAGAGAATCGTTTGAATCCAGGAGGCAGAGGTTGTAGTGAGCTGATATCGTGCCACTGCACTCCAGCCTGGGCAACAGAGAGATTCTTCTCTCTTAAAAAAAAAAAAAAAAAAAAAAAAAAAAAAAAAAAAAAAAAAAAAAAAAAAAAAAACCAAAAAACAACTAAAAGGTGGGACAACCACATGATCAGTCATTCTCACAGGGCTAGTGATATAGTGGCTGTCCCTTGAAAGGAGCCAAACACCCTAGTTCTTCACTGGGTCCTTGTTACTCATTTCTATTACTTGTCCTACCTTTGTAAGCATTTATTTTGAGCACCCTCATAAAGCAATCCCAGGGTAATTAGTACAAACAAATATGCATCTAAATATAAACACAACACAACCTCTCCAAGCCACCAAGAAATCTCCTGGTCAAATATTTAAATGTCATTTTCTTAGCACTATGAAATTCTCCTTTCATAAACGAAGAGGAAGAGAAAAACTTTTCTTCCTCCAGAAAACAGTTAAATATAAAATAAGGAGCAATAATATGAATCAACCTACATGTGACTATCATATCATACATTTTATTTTTTAAAAGTGACATGTCTCAGCAAAGGAAAATCTCAAGGGTGTCACTTTTATTCAGCCCTGTAATTATATTTCTTTCTGACCACTTCCACTTGAAGGCCTAAGAGGAAATTTCTTTCACCCAGCAATGCTGGCAGAATGCAGGCAAGTTCAAATAGTCAACATTTCCATCATTACTTTGGGGATCTGTCCCTCTTTGGGAAGATTTCTCTCTTCCATTAACTATGAGAACAAAACCCCATGAGTCTTTGTTCTGCCAAAGAACCTGAATCACAAAGGAACTGCTGAGTCCTAATTAAAAAGCAAACTGTTATCAGAAGTTTTAATATCACTCTAGCCTATATAAGTAGGCTATTTATGGAGTTTTCTGTGGCAAGACTAACATAGTAAGTTTATTCCATGGGTATTAACTACTTCAGGAGTTTTCACCCTCTCGTGCTTCCATGGTTTTGGTGATTTCAAAGGATTAGGTAGAACGATGTCAAACGGGAAAATGAAAAACTGCTAGGGAGAGAAAATGCCTACAATGTCATTTGTTGAAGAAGGCAGATGCACACACATGAAAACCAATAGAGAAGCATTATTCTTATGACCTCATTCTGACACTCAGGTAGCCTACCTCTCATAGCCTGACTCTTTAATTGACAATCACTGACAAAGAAGACTAACGTTACTTAAAAGTTTATCAGTTCATCTTTGTTGTGTTATGTATCATGTCAGATCCTGGTTGTGGTCTGCAAAGATGTTATAATTGAGGGAAACTAGGTAAAAGGTATACAATCTTTCTCTCTGTATTGGTTCTTACAATTGCATGTGAGGTATAATGATCTGAAAATAAAAAGGTTAAAGAATTGAAAAAATGATGTCAATCAATTTGCCTGGCTAGGAATGTAAATGAGGAGGCTTTTACTTTCTGTTTTATACTTTTTTACGCTCTTTGGATTTTGTTATCCTGTATGCTTTTTCTTACCTAGGCTAAAGTGCAGTGGCACGATCACAGCTCACTGCACCTCAGCCTCCGAGGCTCAAGCAATCCTCCCATTTCAGCCTCCCAAGTAGCTGGAACTACAGGTGCACACTGCCACACCCAGCTAATTTTTTTTTTTTTTGGTGGAGATGGGGGTTACACTATGTTGCCCAGACTGGTCTGGAACTTCTAGGCTCAAGCAATCCTCCCACTTTGGCCTCCCAAAATGCTGGGATTACAGGTATATGCCACTGCACCTGGCCTAAAATTTTTGTAATTAAATAAAGCATTTAAACAAATCTGCAATAAAAAGACCTCTATGAAATACAATTGACTTAGTTTCTTCAGCAATGAATTACACGAAGAGGCACACACATAAAAGTATTTTAGATTTAAAAGCTGCTTCTATGCCATAACAATTGAGACTTGCTTGAATCCTGAATTGAAAAACCAACCTTATAAAACCTTCTAAATAGATAATGGAATATTAAATAATTTCAGATAATTATTAATTTTATTAAGTGAGATAATGGTATCAAGGCTACATAAGAAAATGGCCTTTTTTGAGGGACGCTTACTGACATACGTAGGGCTGAAATGACATAAGGTCTGGGATTTGCCTTAAAATACCTGGCAAAAAAGAAACGAGACAGAATAAATGAAAAATATGGAGAAATGTTGATGGTTACTATAGCTGGATGATGAAGGCTCATAGTTCTAAGAATATTAAAAATTAAAAGAAATAAAGACCCATCTTTAAGGGTTAAAAAATAAAACCATGGACTTATGATTAAACTCCAAGTAGTGTTGTGGAGAGGGCTGGAGGGGAGTGACACAGTAGATTAAACTGCCACCTATCTAACATCAGAACGGGGGGAATGGGGAATGAAGAGGGGAGGAGGAAGTTTCGCCATAGGGAATCTGACCACTCTTCAAAGTGGCTACTACACAATGTTTATCTTTTTCTTCCTTTCAACTGTGATTTCTTGCCAAAGCACATGATGACTAAACCATGTATCATTTCCTCCTCTTCTAGACTGAAAGCTCCTCTCCACTACAGAATATTTCCAGGGTGGTCTCTCTGTAATGGGTCTAAATCCTGGTGTCTGCTTGGAGCCATAGCTGGTTTGTGAGACTGACCAACCACTTCCTCAAAAC